TCTACTGAGCTATCTCCCCGGCCCCAGACCTATTAGTATTGTTTCCAATGTTATTATTATACTTTCTCTGAGTTAAGAAAAACCCAAAAGGTTGACTTTTCTTCCAACTCCCCATTTGGCATGTGGATACTCTCTTTGTCATTTCTGCAGTATCTCTGCTTTCTGAGTCCCCGTCGTGTATACTTTCTCCCTCACCTTGTTAATATGTCCCTGATGTAGACTAGGTAAATTCATCTATGGAGAACTGGTGCATAGACGGCACAGCTGATCCTTCTACTCTTTCTCCTCTCCCTCCCATATGCCTGCTGCTGCTTCTTTGTTTATCATTCACCTTTTATTTTGCTCCTTCCTTATACTTAGAGACTTTCATAGAGGAGAAACTGTGCAATATTTAACCTCCTCCATTGGAGTTATTTCTGCTGCCCCCAGTCTTGAAGAGATCCTGCTGCCAGAAACATCACTCTCCTATCTCTCCATCCCCCTCCTGTCTCTCCATCCCCCTCCTATCTCTCCATCCCCCTTACCTTTGTAATGTGAAAGGAAACACAAGAATGGGTGGCTTCCTATGTTTATTAGTTTCTTATGCTATTCTTTCGAGATAGCCTTAAACCACAGCAGCACACTGCTGGAGGTCAGGCGCTCACAGCTAGTTTCCCTGGGCCTGAGGCAGGGGTGGGTGTGCAGGACTCCTCTTTTTCTGCCGTCTGTGCTTCTAGGGTCACATTCTTTGCACCCCTTGACTCATGCGCCTTCTGCCATCTTTAAAGCCCATGGTGGAGCACTTCGTCTTAGTGGAGACATCCCTTCCTTCTTCTCTCTTCTGCTTTCATTGAGTGTCCATGGGGAGGATAATCCACCTCCACCTCCTACAGCAAGGTCCAGGCCTCTGTAGAGGTCATCCGGCTGTATAAGCTACGGTGTGCAATTTCTAGAGATTAAGACCTGGATATCTTTGCGACCAATTTACAGCCTACCACAGAGTATATGTAAGGAAGACCAGTCAGTAATACTTTTTTATGTACCTCAGAAATCCCCTTTGATGATTGCAGTCCTCACAGTGAGCCCATTTCCATTTGAACAAACTGGTGCTTAGATCTGAAGTTGAGGCCCAGGGCCTCTCCACAGGACCTGTAGGGAGCGTGCTAGTCCTCGGGGATGCATCCTCCATGGCTGTGTCTCCCTTGGACATGTTGGCAGCGGGGGACAGTCACTCCCTGAATTCACCACTCACTGAGTTGAAAAATGGTGATTTGTAATTTCCTCTCTCTCTCTCTCTCTCTCTCTCTCTCTCTCTCTCTCTCTCTCTCTCTCTCTTTTAAAGCAGTATGTGAGGTATTTATACAATAGTATTTTCTCTACTTGGTTACCATGATATAGTATGCCTAAGGAAAGTAGTACAAATGTTTGATTTCCTCTCCTCCACTTTTCAGAATAAAATAATTAGTGCCCTGTCTTTCCAATGTCATTATGAAAACACACACTCAAATATATTTAATGGACTTCAATCCCCTGCAATTATAATCCTTTTCGAAGCTGAAAGTGTTTCCTAAGTTTTTAGGGCTGCCGTCTAGTTTCTCTGTCATTTCTCTGTAGTGTGCAGGTGTGGTCATTCTTTTCTTTTAGGAAGGATGCCTTTGCTCCCTTACCTGTCCCTTCTACCTGTCCTGCTGCCTTCCTGCACTAAGTGGTGGTAGTCACAGTGAGTGCCCCCCACTCCTCTTCTTCCTGGCCGGCACCTGCGCCACGCACAGGTAGCTCTGAATGTTAGTGTCTGGTTCACACCACCCATGGCCCTGAAGGCACTCTGCAGATTCAAACACTCAATTCCATCCTAAAAGATTGACCACCATCAAGAAAGTATTGTCAAGAAGACAATTTCCTAATAGGACTTAGACATTCTGAAGTTGCTGCACCTGTGCCCGTAATAATTAATGTTCTCATCGTGGAGAAAGGCAGTGTCTTCCTCCAGGTATAAAAGGTGTAACAATATGTTCTTTTTGCTGGCTCTAAGACCCATTGAATTTTGTACCTATAAGCAGAAAGGACGTTAGCTTTCTTCCCAGGGTAAACACATTCGTAGCCATGACCCAAAGCATGATTCTCTTCACCCAGTTAAAACATCGCAAGGGCTCTATTTTTGTATTAGATGTTGAAGAGCAATATGTGGATGCAGTATATCTAAAATTTACATTCCACTTATCTTTTGAAATCTTTCGTCTTTTTTAATAGCATTCATTTATTTTATTGTCTAGTTTAGTAGCTCTCAACTTTAGTTTGGCAGAATTGCCTTGAGAGTTTAAAACTACTCATATCCTGGACCCAGCCCCAGTATTTTGATTTAATAGGTCTGGGTGTGGGCCCATGCCTCCAGATTCTTCAGCAACCTTGCCAGGGTCTTTAATCTGCAGCTGAACCTTGTCTGGCTAGCTCATAAACTGATGATCTCCACTATGAAGCTGAGCTGGTTTCTATTAGCACAAATATTACTAGTTTCCTTTGAAGCGTAGTTGAAGAGAAATCAACACTAGCAAACAAAGCTAAATAATTGCATAAATTAATGCCAGTTTTGTTGAAGCTGGCATCAGCATATAAATTTAGCCCACAGAACAAAGTGAATCGAAGCCGTTGAGCCCAAACTTGAACTGGGATCCCTAATGGAGATTAATATTTTCTTCATCCGTCTGCCAGCTGAATCATGGTCTAATTAAATAGTTCAGATTTAGTGAGTTTGCATTTAAAGTATTAGCAGATCCAAGAATGGGTAAAGCTAAAATGAGTTAGAATCTTTTCTGTAAATGGGAAGTTAAATTATCATAGTAATTTGATTAAATCATTTTTAAATCTCTCAAGCTAAATCACAGCCTTTAAAGAATAGTTTGAAGTCTTAATTGCTGTTTGTGAGCATATCTCTCTGCTATTTGTTCTCGCCTCATTTCCTGTGACATCCTCTAATATATCTCCTGCCGGGCAGGAGTGGTGGGAAAGAGCGGCTGAGGGCCAGGGCTGCCGCGCCTGGAGCTGGCGTCCAAGTGTGGGAAGGTGCGCCATATGGAGAGAGGCGGTGGATCAGGGCTGTTCCCAATCAGGACCCAGGGAAGGAATTTGGAGGTAGATAAGGGAAACATAAAGAAGGCGCCTCTAACAATTAGTGCTGCCTCTTCCAAGGGAGAACTCTATACACACCCAGAAATGTCTTCATCAGGAGCGTTGTGGAGAGCGCTGTGATAGAGATGGAAATTTCAAGTGTGCACAAGGGTCAACTTCATGTTCTTTTGTACAAAAAGGAAGTGCTGTGTTCCCTGTTGCATAGTCCCAGTTTTGCTCATGAAAAGCAAGTGTGCATCTGACTACTGCGCTGAACCGCAGCACCACCTGGCCTGTGGGGCCATTTGGAGATGGAAGGGAGCTTGCTTTTGCCCAAGTGCATGCTCAGCGCAGGAGACATTTGTCATTTTCACTTTCTCTGGGTTTAGCTGGAAAATGGTTATCTTGTTTTACTCTGTTTTGTCTTTAGGGAAGTGAATAACCTTAGTCCCAAGATAAATTGGATGAGTCTACTGAAGTTCTACTCCCTTCCAAGGCCTGGGGACAGTTGTCCCCTAGAGACTCCTGTGGGGGCTGCCCCTGTCCCAGCTCCATTTCTCCAAGGAAAGGAAAGCATGTCAGGGCATGTGGCCGTCATGTCCATGGCTGTTTCCATGACCAACTTTGCCAACGCTGGGGAGCCTCTGAGAACACAGGCACCTGTTTCTAAGACAAGACCTTGGAGGAGGTGGGGAAGGAACCAGACAGGACAGGGCCTTGCCAGAGCCGCAGAAGGTCCAAGAGTGGCCAGTGCTATCTCAAGACCTGCTCAGTCACCAGCTCCCTTGGAGGAGTTCCAGGTTTACTGAGCAGGAGTTGAATTTTAAGCAGTAAAGACTTGTAAGCCTTGTATTACAGCTGACTTGAAATTGTTGGAAAGAAATGTATCAAAAGAAAAAAAAACAATAAACAAAATACACATATGTTGAAAAGCATGATAGTGGTTATATACAGCTATCTTTAAATCTCTTTGCCCGTTTCTTCTCTGCATATTTAGCCACTTAATTTTCAACTACTTTTCCTCGTTTTGTTCATGAAATTTGCATTTGAGTTATAGGGAAAGTGGGGCTGACTCCATATATTTCAGAGCTTCAGCGATGTCAGAGAACTAGGATTATTAAACATGAAGAATCCCCCAAAGACTCCATTATGTGTAATTAACAGATAAACTGTCATCAGAATCAATAAAATGTGCTAAATGATTCAAACTTGTATATAATTAAGTGTCTGTTTCAGCGCTAGAGCTGTGACTTTTATTTTTTGCCCCTGCATCTCACCTATCTCACAAGACTAATTGTGGCAACCTCGTTAACCCTTCCCTAGTTCATTCGAATTCCATTTTCAGATTAGTATTTTTAGGGGCAAAGTTTGCTGTGTGTAGAAGCGGGGAGAAACAGGTTATATAAGGAGGCCTCCTTTGACAGATGGTTACTGATACCTTAAAATTCTAAAAGGATAAAGAGTTTATTGTGTTTCAAAATAGTGCTAAATTTAGTGTAGTCACATGGAGTTGTTAATGAAGATCTCAATCTTTCACTTTTTTCCCCTTTGGAACAGGGGGGCATTTTGCAGGCAAGGTCAGGATCTTAACGCTAGAATAATGCTTCTACTGCTAGAATAATATTTTCAGTAGATGGCTTCGGGAAGGTTCGTTGGATGAGTGAATACAAGAAGAAAAGCAACAAGTAAGGCAGCCACGACTGTAGCCTGCTAACCGCAATGGTTCCCATCCTCCATCTGAGGAGGGTGGCCTGGAAGGTTTGCTGCTGTTTGGGGTGGGAGCGGAGTCGATCTGCAGATTCTCTTGGTATTGGGCTCTTGGCTGGCTGTGCTGTCTTCACAGCATGTGTGACTCGGGGTCCTCGGGGCGTGCTCTTCCTAAGGTGACGGCGTGTGTGTTTTGCTCTGTCCTGCAGACTCCATGCACATAGAGGACGTGGAAGCTGTGCAGAAGCTGCAGGACGTGCTGCACGAAGCCCTTCAGGATTACGAGGCGGGCCAGCACATGGAAGACCCGCGCCGGGCCGGCAAGCTGCTCATGACGCTGCCGCTGCTCAGGCAGACCTCCACCAAGGCCGTGCAGCACTTCTACAACGTCAAGCTCGAAGGCAAAGTCCCCATGCACAAACTGTTTTTGGAAATGCTGGAGGCCAAGGTCTGACTAAAAGCTTCCGGGGCCTGCCCCTTGCGCACGCTGCAAAGGGAGAATAAACCCAAAAGTGATGGCGAAGAAATTTAGGATTTAGTTAAGGACTTCAACTATCAACAAAGACTGCACTGATACTTTAGCAGCAAGACTGTGAAGCAGCTTTCGGATTCCTCCACATGTTCCTGCTAAATTGCTGTCCCCGTTAGCTCTCCTCCTTTCTCCTTTCTCTCCTGATTCCCTTCCTTTTAGTTCATTTTTATTTTCTTTCTTCTCCCTTTCTCTCAATGTTTGGCTTCCTTCATTACTGGTTTCTGGTTGTCTCATTTCCTCCCTCCCTTCCTTCCTTCCTTTCTTCGTTCCTTCCCTTCTCTTTCTTCCTCCTTTATCCTAAAATTTAAGTAACCCTAATTATAAGAAAGGATTCCTTCTTTCACCTCTCCGTTTTTCTTTTCTCCTCCATTCCTTTCCTTTTTCTCCATCTCCCTTCCCTTTTTTTCTTCCAATTTCTTTATTTTTTCCTGTCCTTTCCTTTCCCTTTCATCCTTCCTTTTGCTGCGGAACTTTTAAAAGAGGTCTCTAAGTGACACAAGCTAGAAGCCAGCCCTGCCAAAGGATAGAGATCCACAGTATGGATACCAGTGAACTTACTCCGAACCGTACCTAGCGTCCCCAGTGACTAAGGAATCAAAGAGACGAGCGAGAAGCGGCGTACTTGAAAGTGCAGCGCGACAGAAGCAAAATTGACTGAGTGCAGTATTAGATTTCACGGAGCAGCCTCTGATTAGACAACTTAAGCGACGTTGCATCGGCTGCTGCTTATCATTGCTTTTCCATCTAGATCTGTTACAGCCATTTGATTCCTTAATTGTTTTCCAAGTCTTCCAGGTATTTGTTAGTTTAGCTACTATGTAACTTTTTCAGGGAATAGTTTAAGCTTTATTCATTCATGCAATACTAAAGAGAAATAAGAATACTGCAATTTTGTGCTGGCTTTGAACAATTATGAACAATAATGAAGGACAATTGAATCCTGAAGGAAGATTTTTAAACAAAATGTTTTGTTTCTTCTTACAAATGGAGATTTTTTTGTACCAGCTTTACCACTTTTCAGCCATTTATTAATATGAGAATTTAACTTACTCAAGCAATAGTTGAAGGGAAGGTGCATATTATAACGGATGCAATTTATGTTGTGTGCCAGTCTGGTCCCAAACATCGATTTCTTAACATGAGCTCCAGTTTACCTACACCACTGACACCAAGGATTAGATTACACCCGCAGTGGCTGGGGGCGGCTGCTGGCGTCTGCCCTGTGGGAGGGGATGCGAAGCCCTAGCATGGTCACGCATACACCTCTGTGCCCGAGGGGTGGGCGCCATATGCCTTCTGGCTGCCCTGGTGGTGAGAAGGAGATGCTGCCCGTCTGCAGAGCTCCGGACCTTGTCTCAGAAGGAGCCGTGTGTGAGCCAGTATTCACCTGAGAGGCAATAAGGCAAATGCCAGAGATCAAAAATAAAAATAAAATAAAATCATGAAAGACAGCAGATGCCTGACCAAATTCTAAAACCTGATCCATATGAGTTCATTCATTTAGGAACGTTGGTTTCAATTAATCCGCAGTTTTTACCAAAAGCTATGTGATTGCGAGCCAGTATGGTCACAGCACGAGAGGCAGTCAGGGTCCAGACTGTCACGAGGTGTAATCTAATGAGGAAATCAGTTAGCTCCCCCCGAAATCTACAGTCACCAAATATCCGATAAACAGTAACCTCCATCCAACGCTATACCAATGGACCAGTGTTAGTAGCTGCTCCCTACCGTGTGAACAGTCCTTACTCTATGTACACAGATGTAATTAAAATTATAATCCTAACAAACAAAAGAAATGTAGTTCAGCTCTTCAATGTTTCATGTTTGCTGTGCTTCTCTGAAGTTTATGTTGCATTCAAAGACTGTTGTCTTGTTCTCGTGGTGTTTGGATTCTTGTGGTGTGTGCTTTTAGACACAGGGTAGAATTAGAGACAATATTGGATGTACAATTCCTCAGGAGACTACAGTAGTATATGCTATTCCTTACTGGTAATAAGGTTCTTCCTAATAATAATTAAGATACTGAGACTCCAAACAAGTATTCATTACGAACAGATACACATCAAAGTCATAATAATATTTTCAAAACAAGGAATAATTTCTCTAATGGTTTATTATAGAATACCAATGTATAGCTTAGAAATAAAATTTTGAATATTTCAAGAATATAGATAAGTCTAATTTTTAAATGCTGTACATACGGCTTTCACTCAGTCATCTCTCAGATGTCGTTATTAACTCGCTTTGTGTTGTTGCAAACCTTTTTGGTGCGGACTCTGTTTCCAAAACTATTGCTACTTTGTGTGCTTTAAACAGAATACCTTGGGTTGGAGTTCCAACCCAGTGCTAGGAATACTGTGTATCTATCATTAGCTATATGGGACTATATTGTAGATTGTGGTTTCTCAGTAGAGAAGTGACTGTAGTGTGATTCTAGATAAATCATCATTAGCAATCCATTCAGATGGTCAATAACTTGAAATTTATAGCTGTGATAGGAGTTCAGAAATTGGCACATCCCTTTAAAATTAACCGCAGAAAATACAACTCCTGGGACAAAAAATAAATAAAAGGTGCTGATTCTATAAGATTATTTATATATGTAAGTGTTTAAAAAAGGTTATTTTCCAGAAAGTTTGTGCAGGGTTTAAGTTGCTACTATTTAATTACAATCTGTATATGTAAGACAGCTAGGTGTCTACACCATCCTCACTGTATCACGTTGACGTACATGGTACTGTAAGAAATGTGGAACAACTAGAGGCATGAGATGGAGACCTGTTCAGAGAACGAGATGCAATTTCTAGTTTTCAGTTGAAGTGACATGGACCTTGCAAAAGAACAAATATCTCACAGATAGGAAAAAAGAAAACAAGCAAAATGTGGGTCTAACAGAACTGTACAGGCTTGAGGGTAAATGCCCGTCTTAAACCTCACCCGAGGGAAGTTTTTTCAGGTTTCGTGCAAGACCATTTACTTAATGTGAAGTTGTGGAGAGTGATGAAGATGTATGTTTCAGCCGTCTGATTTCTTTTTATTGTGCTTCTTTTAGGTTGGTTCTTATTTAAAGCAATATGATTGTGTGACCCTCGTAGTTACACTCGTGTTTCAATCAGATCAGACTGTTGTATTTATTCCACTATTTTGCATTTAAATGATAACATAAAAGATATAAAAAATTTAAAACTGCTATTTTTCTTATAGAAGAGGAAATGGGTGTTGGTGATTGTATTTTAATTATTTAAGCATCTCTGTTTACCTGCCTAGGAAAACATTTTATGGCAGTCTTATGTGCAAAGATCGTAAAAGGACAAAAAAATTTAAACTGCTTATAATAATCCAGGAGTTGCATTATAGCCAGTAGTAAAAATAATAACAATAATATTAATCATAATAATAATAATGATAAAACCATGTCTATAGCTGTAGATGGCTTCACATCTGGAAAGCAATCAATTGTATATTTTTGTGATGTGTACCATACTGTGTGTTCCAGCAGACGTCTGTTTGTGTAAATGTATTTATTTTATATTGTATATATTGTTCAATGCAAAAGGAGATATGATTCTGTAACTCCCACCAGTTCAGATGTGTAACTCAAATTATTATGCCTTTCAGGGTGATGGTAGAGCAATATTAAACAAGCTTCCACTTTTGACTGCTCTTTTGTACTGTGTTGCTTCTCCCCCCTACGAGAGCATCTGACCCACAAGGGCTGCCCTTTGTTGCTCCCTTCAAAGAGTAGCCCCCGGTACCTGCGCCCTAAAAATAAGGCAGGAGTTTAAATAAAAGCTATATAAAGGCTTGTCAGAATGAATTCTAGGGTGCCAGAAGACATTTTGCATATTTAAGAGTATGCAAAGTGTTTTGCGGCACATTAGAATTCATTCTGACAAGCCTTTATATAGCTCTTATTTAATCTTAAAACATCTCCGCATCATCCTGCATTACTCGAAATCATCGCCTCTGTCAATGTCATAACAGAAAACTTTCCCCCTATTTTAAGATCATATTAAAACCTGCTAGAGATACCCATTATTTCCCTCTATCAACAATTAAATCCGGCGTGGGGCGGCTGTCCGCGGCTGCCGGCCTGGTTGCTGAGCGAGGCAGCGCGCTCTGGGCGGCCAGGAGGAGGGCAGCTGTCTCCGGGGTCCGGGGGTCCAGCAGGGCTGCTGACAGCCAACGGCTTCTGTGTGCCTGCGACACCCTGTGAGGTCGCAGCCCTGGCTGCTGGGGTCAACCCGCAGCCCCCGGGCCTGCGGAGCCATCACTGAAGAGCTAATCTGGGCTTTGCCGGCTCTTCTGCCAGTTCGGACAGCCAGCGCTTGTCATTGTGTTCGCCCCCTTTCTCACCTTTCAGCGGGCCGCTGCTCCAGGGAGGAAGCAGGGGCACAAAGGGCTCCGCAGCGCCGGGTCCCAGGCTCGTGCGTGCGGGTGCCCGTGCACCGCGGAGCTCGGCAGAACTTTCCTGTGGTAATGTCCTTCCAGGGGACAGTTCAGCAGACCCCGGCCTGCTTTAATTCGGATACTTTCAAACTATTTGGGTGGAGTTGAAGCGATGCAAGACACAAAAGCCTAGGAAGAAAAAGCATACCCAATTCTTCAGTGAGGTCCTCGAATTCAACTCTTTTAAATATAAGACAGACAGTCCCATTGCTATTTTAAAATTTTTGGTTTTTTAAGGACCTAACTGGCCTTCATTAGCAATTCATGATGAGGTAGCTTACCATCTAGGCCTCAGTTAAGTGTGCCCCTGGCCTGGCAGAACAGTTCCTTGCTTGTTTTCTTAAAACTTTTTTTTATTAGTACCTGTTTGCCATATACAATGATGGCCTTCAGATGGAAAACTGATACACATAAAGCTCCCTTCTGCTCCCTCCTGGCTTCTGTGGAGAGGACACAGGCCTGGGGACAGGGACAGCACATGTTTTAAGGAGCACAGGCATCAAAACCCTGCCACCTTTTTAAAATTTAGAATCATTCCAGGAGAAACTTTCCGGTACTGTCATTTTTCAGATGTGTCAGATAGAGAAAGAAATAGATTGAGGTAAAGATCACCTATTCTAGTTTTCGGTAGGGTTTTTGTCATGAATTAGTGTTGGACTTTATCGAAAGCTTTTTCTTCATCTCTTGAGATAAGGGAAAGGAGAAAAAGAAGAGGAAAAAATATATATACACATACACATACACACATAAGATAGCTAATTGTACTACTAATTTCTGTGTATTGAAAGGAACGGTGAATGTGTAATTTTTGACCAATTTTACATGCTTGTATCTGGTTATCTGAACAGCTACTTTGAAGACAACATTATGTAACACAACAACACTTGTTCAATTCCATTATCTTGTTTTTTGAACTTCTGTATTGTTTCTAATGATATTTTATTAATATATGAAAGAAAATTAAGCAGGAGGCGTTCAGTGGTTTGGCATGCTATATTTTTAAATGTAGAAACAAGTCACTGAAGGGTCATATATTGATTTTAAGGACTCACATTTGTTTTCCCTAGTTGTTTATGAGCAATTTCTTTTTCTTAAAACAGTGGCTCCCAAACTTGTCTACATATTGGAATCATCTGGGGAGTGTCACAGCTCCTGCTGTCCCCACCACGAGGACCGAGATTTCCCTGGTGTGAGGCACGCCTGGCTTTGGAGTTCTTAAGAAAGATCTCTGGGACCCTAACTGAAGGCAAGAAGGACGCTGCTACTCCATAGTTTTGAACTTTTCTCAAGCCACAAATGTCCTTAAAAAGAAAGACTTAAGAAAAAAAGACAAAGAACTTTTTCTCAAAGCTCTCAAAAACTCCAGTGACCTGCATTTTGTGCTCACCTTCCTTCCATTTCCCAAATGCCACCTTGCCCCTTTCCGTCCCCCGACACAGGGAACATGTTTCATTTGATGACTCTCAAGCCCTGTCTTTGATTGTGTATCCACATAATAATGAAAATGTCTGCTCCAAAATATGTGCAGAAAGCCGACACTTTTTTCCCACCTGCACATTTGGCCCTCAGATCAGCTTCAAAATTAACTTCCATGTGGTTCAAAATACCCATTTTTCTCTACTTCAGAACAAAAAGCCAACAAACAAAATTAGAAGTTCCAATTTCTTGGAGCTCTCTCACTTCTATTTGCCCAGATGTTTGTTGGTTAGAGGAGAAATGGAATGACTTCATCGCGGGGCTCTGCGAAAACTTCAGGTACACTTTGGTTATTTCGAAATTTAGCTTTAGAGTAACGTGGGAAAGAAAAGGCCATCAGTGTGATGATGGGATCTTGCGTTTCACCCACAATGGTTCACAGTGTTCCAAGGCACAGTGTTTAAGGTGGCATGTCTGGATCATTCAGGTCGCCAAGTTTAGCTTCTCATGCCCTTTCTAGGGGGAAAAAAAAAACAAAAAAACAAACCAAACCTAAATGAAACAAGTAGCAGTAGATGGATTGTTCACCGCATCTTATTATGAAACAAAATAGAAAAGAACGGAATTTCAAAATATAATCCTCCTTTTCCAGGAATATTTGTCTTGTTCTCCATGAAGTTAAAGGTCTGAAATAATGCGCCCATCAGGGGCTCAATGTAGCATGTCCATGCCAGTTGGTCCAAGGGCTTGTTATGATGGTAATGACCTACTGAAACGCGGGCCTGGATGGCGACCGCGCAATTGCTACCAGCTCACCCGCTGGGAGAAATATTTTATTATTGTCAACTGTCCTCCATAGAGATTTGTTTTGCCTGTTCCTGTTGAAATTAAATTCAAAGTAGAAACTGCATTACTATTTCTCTGGAGTACATTTCAGATAAACAACGAGTCTCAGAATCTAGGATTTCTGGCTAGTGCAAATTTGTTTATTAGCAGAAAAATTACACTAGGTGATACCAAAGCCGCAGGAAGATGATGACCACAGTCAGATGAGAGATTTACATACTGCGCTCGCGGGCGAAAAGCAAGAGCTCCCGTTTTCATTACAGATGCCAGTGGGTTAATTAACTCTGTCATCAACTGTACAACCTTTGAAACAAAGACGTCCCGGTATACCGGTGAATTGCTATAACATGTCGCAAGAACTGCTGGACCACGAGAAACTTTGTTCCAAGTAAGCAGTGTTTTTAAATTTAAGATCCTAAACCAAAGGTGTTTCTATAAATTTGTTTTAACAGCAAACATGGCGACCACAGCCTGAAAAAGTCCAATGCATGAATGAAAATGCATTGAATCTATTCTGTGAATATAAAATACCTTTTCCAACATAATTTTTAAAATGAACTAAGATGAATATCTTGGAAAATATTTGGATTGTTTTGCCACAGGACTGAGAGTGACTAAGAATTTCAAACGGTCAATTCTTTCATCAACACAAAATTTATTGCAGGTAAACTAGCACTAGAGCTTATCTACAAAAAGAAAATGCCTGTTGCCTTTGTAAGGAGAATAACAGCCAACGTGTTTCAGAACAGACCGATGTTCAGCAGAGAAGACTTGGAACCTGGAACCAGGCTGTCGGCAGAGCTCGCGGAAGAGGCCTCTCCCAAGCGCTGCTGCTGAGCTCTGCCTGCACTCCAGTCTTCTGTGCCCTGTAGTTTCACAGTCTTCTTGAGAAGTGAAGAACCGTCTGCTATCAAAGTTTAAGAAAGCACAGAAAGCAAAAGTCAGAAGAGCAGTTTCCACAGTGAGGTCTATAGCTACGTAACGGTTTGTGTTTCCTTTAGAATGCTTGGTTTCACAAATGTGAAAAGTTATCTCGCGGCCACTTTTGGAAAGCCTCCCTCAGATTCTTTCCCTCCGCATGACTTTAATTTCCCTCCATCTTCCTTTTGTGGATGAAATGGGTAGGTCAGTCCTCCTGCCTCAACGTAATTCGTGCTTACAATTCAAAAGAAGACAGATAGCCTATATACAGTTTACGTGTAGGTAAGAGAAACAAAATCTGATCCTCCACGGAAAGAAATATAGAGTTGGCAGTAATTTCTGGGCTGCCTAATAAGTGAGGTGGTATTTAGCCATCAGGATATTTTCGTACATATAAAGTTTATGGCATGTGATTTGCTTTGATTTAACAAGATTTGGGGAGTGCGCCAATAGACGGAGGCTGAAGAGAAAGTACACCGCACTTTTCACATGTAAGCAGTCTGAATCTTTTCTCCATGGATTTAGGCTCCAGTTCTGCCACTGGCCAGCTGTCAACAGACTACTGGTTAAGTCTATTCCACTGAGTGAGCAGTGTGTGTGTGTGTGTGTGTGTGTGTGCACGCACGTGGATGAAATGGGTAGGTCAGTCCTCCTGCACACACACACACACACACACACACACACACACACATATACTGATGAGGCGATCGTTACCAGGACTAAATGAGATTATCTAAGAAACTACCTTGTAGCTAAACTTTCAAAAGTTCAGTAAGTTGGAAATTTAATTTTCTTCTTTTCTTGTATTTCTTTCCCAACAGAGGCTCATAAAGGGTCCAAGCTAATCCACTGGGAACTGGGACAGAAACCATGCGAGCAAGTGGTGGTGCAGGAGCTGGGACCCGGATGGAGGAGTTGTTCGGAAAGCTTTTCATGAGCAGCCAGCACTGAGGTTCTGCAGGGTTGTGCTTCCTGCCTGGGGGAGGGAGTGGGGGTGATGGGGAACCTGGGGTTTGGCCACAAACTAGCCA